TTTTTTAAAGTATGGACGGGAATGGACGCCCGTCCAATCGTAAGGGACGGCCGTCCACCCCAAAGATTTTTTTTTTTTTTTTCATATTTTGGTTAAGGACGGGCGCCCGCATAACAGATGGGCGACCGTCCCAAATGTTTATAAAATTTTTTTATTGTATTTTATTTATGGACAGACGTCCTTTAAATGGGGACGTCCGTCCCTTGTATATGGACGCCCGTCTATATAATATGGACGGGCGTCTATATGAGTGAACGACCATCCAAATTTGATGGACGGCCGTTCACTAGAAAAAAATTGTTAAAAAAATCAGAGTTGTTACATGTAGGCCAGTACACAATTTCGGTGCAAGTATTTTGGTGTCTGTAGCTTTATTGATTTAGATAACAATCATTACTTCTGTGAAAAATTAACATTTGTTGGAAGTGTATCGTATACTTTTATTTTTTATATATTTTATTAATTTCTATTAATATGTGAATAAAATAACAAGGGCATTATAGATATTTTAAAAAGTTTCACTTTACTGTAAGTAAATATGCTCTAAACTTATGAACAAAAGTGTAAAAATAAAAGAGTAAACTAACAGGGCCCTGGATTTTTGCGAGGTTTCTAGCAATGTTCTGAAAACTAGACCTGTCTGACTGTCGATCGGTGTCCTCTCCGATTTGAATTTCCAATTTTACTGTTCACACAAATCCCTATTCTTACAATCGACGAACGAGAGGCTACCAAGTGCTAGGGTTAGAGGGCTTTTTTAGAGGGGAGGCCGTGGTTTTGGGGGTGGTGTCGGATTAAATTTTGGTCGTCAGAATTTGGTCGGAAAAATCAACCCAATACGCGAGTCACAGCTAGTGAACTGGGGGCTACCAAGTGCCAGGGTTAGATCAATTTTGTAGAGTGGAGGTTGGTGGTTTAGGTGGTAGTGTTTGATTGAATTTTTTATGTTGAAATTAGCTGAATTTTTTTTGGAAAAATGAACCCAATTGTAGTGGTGTTCGCGAGTCATAGCCGACGAACAAGGTGCTACCAAGTTCTGAGGTTACTAGAGGATGATGGTTCAGGTGGTGATGTCAGATTGAGTTTTGGCTGTCAAAATCAGCTGAAATTTGGTTAGAAAAGTCAAAACCCAAAAAATTGTAGGGTTGTATTTGCTATATTTCAAACCTATAGGGATTGAAAAGTTTTTGAGAGTGTTTTTGCAAGATTTTAAACTTTTTAGACCACCGGAAACTGCTAGTTTAACCGGTCAGACCGGTAAAACCATTGGTTTACTAGCTTTGAATTCCCCTTTTGTCTCGTTTTGTCTATTAAAGAGAGGAGAAAGCGAGATGTCACATAGTTTTGGGTTTGGGTAATCAGATCTCGGTTGGCCCAAATAGAAAAATGCTATCCTTGCTCACTCCCTTACTCACTTTCTCTTACTCACTTTTGTTAAAATGACATATGGTACCCGTACTATACTGTATATTTATAAAAGTAAGAGAAAGTGAGTAAGGGAGTGGGTAAGGGTAGCATTACTCGCCCAAATATAAGTCCATATAATTTTTTTTTCTTTTTATTAAAAGGGGAAATAATCTTTAGGCTTCGTTTATATATATTTTTTGCTTTGATTATTTAACCAAATTAACCTTAAATAAAATTGAGTAATACTACACTTACAAAGACATTTTACAAAGATCTTCATACAAAGTAATGTGACAAAAAATGAGTGGAAAAGTGAATTTAATGAGCTTGACTTTTTGTTTTACTCTTCCATTCATTTTTTGTCACCTCACTTTGTATAAAAATCTTTGTAAGATTTATTTGTAAGTATAATATCATTGAATAAAATTATCAAAAAACACTTGTTGAAGAAACAGTTAGTTCACTCCATTTATTACATTTTTATTGTTTACCGATCATTTTTGTGTTTGATTTGTTACATCTGAGACCGAGATGAAGAATTTGTATTTTCTTTATCGAAACTGAAACATTGTTATTTTGTTGTGTTCACTACAATGATTGATACAAACTTTCTTTTTTGTTTTGTCATTTCGATTATTGATCCATGATAATCAGGGACAACCGATGACTATTATGTCAAAAAAATATGGAAAACCTTCAAGTAACTTCATGGCGAAGAAATCTTTCTATATGTGAAAGTCGAGGAAAAAAAGTTTGCCATCTGTTTGTTTGATGACAAGACTGGCATCATCAGTTATCTTCTATTGATTCAAGAAAAAGTTCATAAACAAGCTATTTGAAAGAAAAAAAATGAAAGAAAAAAAAAGTTTCATATGAGCTTTATGTACACTCCATTGCTCGGTCTGGAACTTGTAGCTGGTACAACTCCGCATTTTCAATTACTTCCTTCAGAGCATCTCGACCCAAAAACTTGGGAAATTAATACATTTGTATAAATCATCATCACAGGCTCCAAAATTTCCAAGTCTCGAACCAAACCTTTTCCTGTGGTGGTAATTCTCTGGCAGAAACCTTTTGTGGTGCTCCACAAGGAACACTTACACAATTTAGGAAGCCAGCTTCCTCCATCGCAAGCTTATCCATTGCACCTTCAACCTATGATCAGCATCAAATCATAAAAATCAGTAGAGAAAGAGATTTAAATTACTCAGTAAAGAAGCCGAAGTATGATTTGGCGGTATTTACAATGATGATTTCAGCAGCTTCCTTTATATCATCAAGTCCAAATAACCATTTCTCTGTGCTCTTCTCCTGAAATGAAAGCAACAATCCAACAAGAAAATCAGCAATGCAGCTACACTTGATTTTAGATTGACAAAACAGGAATGACAGGCACTGAAACTGCACTTTTATGTACTATGAAAAATTCACTATCACCACACAACAAATGAAAGAAATTGTCTCCTTAAGCATAGGAATAAAGAACTTAAACTGAAACCATAGGCAAGAACTGGACATGTAAAATGGGCTGTGCCGACCTATTTTTTCCATATTACTATTCTTACTGGAACTAGGAGTGATCTTAGGATATTGTTTGTGGATAATTCACAGTGCAGTGAGAGAATCAATCAATCTAGGACTTGGGAGTCAGTTACCATGTGATCTTAATCACCTCTCTGGAATTGCTTTTCTAAAAGCCAAAACATATTAATTATAGCATTTTACATGGCCATGCTATATCAAATATTTCCCACTTATGTCTCTGCCATTCCATTGGTATATCAAACTATATTTACCTATTCAACAATCCAAGGACGGGATTAGCACAAATAAATGCCAAATTTTTTTCTCTCGGCAGGTCAGTACTTGCATCCAACGAGCACCCCATTTTGTCGAAAAGGGAAAGCTATGACAGCCTGTTTACAAGTGGTTAGAAAGCAAACTTTAAGATGAGGGAAAGAACCATCATAAATGTAGATATACTATCTGAGGTTTACAGCGGTAACCATGTGCATAGTTGAGAATAAAAATGTTAAGATACTCCACAATCGACAAGTCAAATAAGCTAACAAGACTTGCATCTATAAATATGAATTGCTAGATGTACTATATTACACTTATAAGTTAATATAGCCAAAAACTCAACAGATTAATCAAAACCATGGGACAAAGAAAAAATAGTGCATTACATCAACAACTGCTAACATCCACGTGCCAATAGGAATAGAAAGGAGACTGAATGCAGTGAGGAGTAAGGAAAATTAACTCTTACAAACTTAGTTGACCAAATCCATAGTTATCATATCGTGACATACCCTAACGGTTCTAAATTGGAACAATTGATCCCAAATGTGAATCCATTTTCATTTGATACTTTCAAAGGAGTTTATATACTTCAACAAGAATCTATCTTGCCCACTAGTTGCAATCATTTCCTACACCTTGGCTTCTGCCACAATCACATGGCCAACTAGCTATAAATAAGAATTAGCCCTTTTAACAGGGCACAAGCTTACTCAATCAAATAAATGATAGCAAGATACATTATCTTGTGCTTGTCAAATTTTATGGCTGAACTAATTATACTAAGAACCAATCTTGCGAAAGGGATTCATAGTACCTGATATTAGATTAGGGTTGTTTCAATGCATTTTACTTCAACAAGAATTCCAATAAACTTTTCCCCAACTATAATCTATTTTCAGTCATCCATGGTATCATTCTAAAAATTGTTCAGCCTCAAAATCACTTTTTATAATATAAATGATAAGAAGTATATCAAAAAATTAAAGATAAGAACTAAGTAGCTGCAGTTAAAAAGGAACCTGATCACCAGATAATTGCATAACAGAATTTCTTTGGAGAGTTCCCTCAGATATTATCCGCTCAGCAAAATAAACAATTAGCTGAAACAAAGACAGAATATAAATTCTGAATCATTATCAAGCTCAACGAATAAGGACTCTCAATTAATAGGATTTAGACCCTTGCAAGACATAACTTGGCAATTCCTCGAATATAGTATAATTCAACAAAGAAAGAAAGAAGCTCATAAAAATCAAAAGAAATATAAGAAGAGAAGTCAGCATACATGCCTTGTCACCCAGTGGTTCTAATCCTAAGCTCTTTTCTGTCATTTGTTTCGACGGAAAAACTTCTGTATTGTTGTTGCTGTCTGCAAAGGCCTACAACCGAAGTTATCAATTGACCAACAAATAGCATACACCAAATTTAGGTCAGACAAACACTCATTACAATATTACAAGAAGGAACCGAATTTGGATTTATGAAATGGTTTAGCATACGAATTATGAACTTATAAGAAGGAAAACTTGAAATTTAAGGTTGAGAGCATTTTAACTTGTCTTTTTGATAGCAAAAAGCAGAAGTACTTCAACAAGAAGCAGAAGTATTTCTACAAGAAGGGGTTACCTGGCCTGCCCATCCACAATTAGCTCGAAAACACCTCCACATTGAAAAATCCCTACAACAAGTGAAATCCAACCCAGTCGACCACCACTCACAAAAGATTCTACACAAGAAAATCAAATTAATTTTTTTTTTTTTTTTTTTAAAGGCAGCTTTCTGCTTACCCATCTTGGATTATATGAAGAGACAAACTTCTCTCCATTGACTGACCTCCTTTACACTAAAGCCACAGAAGCACTGAACATTCAAACCAAAATTAAAACAAGAACAACAACATATAAAGATAACAACGAATACAAAAAGTACACACCTGTGGACAAAACAAGCGATTATACAGTCCAGGAATACAAGAATCGTTGCAAATTATCCCAAAAAGCTCCAATTTCTGCTTAACTTTCTCAACTTTCAAATTACTATCAATGCCACTCACTTTATCTGTGAGCTCCACCTTATTATCTTATAAAACAAGAAGAACCCATCAAATTTATGAAGTAATGAGAACAAACAATGCATAATTTTGGGGAAAAGGAACTATCGGACGTGGGCTTGGCAAGACCAAACAGGGTTTAATCTTCTTCTGAGTAATGTTGGGAATGAAAAGTAACACCTGGGAATTATACCAAAGGGCATATTTATTTTGTTCAACTGAGTTTGAAGCTTCAACCTTTAACTCTTCTTTATCATATGAAAATCAGGAAGCTGTTCATGAGATATGAATTGGTATGATAATTTTGTGTTGTTATTGTCTCTGTCGTTTGTTTGTTAGCTAAAATTGGCCGCTCTGCAACCACATGCTATGGCGGAGCTATGGCGGCTAAAAAATAAAGGGTAAATAACGTTTAAGCCACCGTAAATTATCCTCAAGCGCCCTTATGTTCAAAATTTTTTATTTTGATCCCTTTAGAATTAGATATAGTTGATGGAGAAAGAGGAGAGGACAAAATGGACATTTCAAAACGAAATAGAAATTTATTAAATTAATTAAAAAAGAAAATTTTCTGAATTGAAAAAAAAAATTTTAGAAACTTCTAAATTAAAACCAATTATATAATTCAAAACTTAAAAAAAAAAAAAAAAAAATAAATACTAAAAAAATAGAAACAAAACTCCTAACCTTTCACAACAATTTTAAAGTTTTTATTTTTTAAATTTACAGAAATTAAAAATATATATTTAAAGTTGTTAAATTCTCCTGATTATAGAGATTGTAAAAAAAATTAATAATAATCATGTATTCTGATAGTTCTCCTGGTTCCCCTGTTTAATTATGCAGGGAAGTCCTTTGCCTCTTACTATATTTGTCTATGCTAATCATTAATTACAGGTGATAATTAATAAATTAATGATTCTATGAATGGAATTAAAGATTGATGAATTCAGAAACAACAAAAGCTTTACCTGAATGAAAAGTAATTAAAATTTCAGTCTTTTGGGTTGTGGTTCCTCTTCCATGTTTGAGCTGAAATCTCCTTTATGTTGTTTCACTTGTTCTTCAGAATAAAGCCCACACTTCACCACATTGTAATATTTTCCACTGAAATCAAAAGTAAGATACCGGGTTTTTTGGCCCAAGAAACACCGGGTTTTTTTGCCCCGGAAACTAAGCGGATCATTCCACACTATTACATGATCTGACATAAGTCTGTTGTCTTTAGGACGTATCATCCCCAGCCTCCAACCTTCTTCATGGAGTGTCATACCATTTTCATCTATGTCAATCACCTTACAACAAAACTCCAAATTTTGGGGAGCTTTGTTATGGTCTTGAGATGTTACAACAAGACACATTGTCAAATTAGATAAGAGTTTCCAATGAGGTAGTGGTAGCCCCTCGAGAGTTATAGAAGATCCCACATTTTGGAAGCTGAACCACTCTGGAATTTCATTTCCAGGAAAGAGCAAAAGATATCTCGAATAGAACATCCCCCATTGTTTCTATACAAAAAGAATATTTAACAGCATTTGTTAAAATATCAAATAAAAAACATCGATCATTTAAGGAAATCTAGAGAATGGAAGTCATACCTGTCCGTTCTGATCCAGTTTTAAACAGTTACCAAAGTTGGCCTGCGCCACCCACGAGGATAAATCAAAATCATATGACTCCAATGATATACAATTGTATGCTTTAACAATCATAGCACTTAATGGTAAGCATTTAAGCCTCTCACAATAACTTATGTCTAGACAGTCCAATTTAAGTTGTTTGAAGCTTGATGGTATCCATTCAAAATTGTTTCTGCTTAGATTTAACTCTCTTAAAGAGTAAAACTTACCAAGAGTGTCGGATAACCTCATGATTCGACAATTAGATAAATCTAAGTCATCTAGAAAGCTCAAATCTGATAAAAAAGGCCATACTGAATTCACCTTTGGATCTTGAATCCTATATCCGCTCAAGGACAATTTAGAAAGTCCCTTCAATTTTCCTAACTGCTGGGGCAAATTATGGAGTTTTGAGCAACCTTTGAGATTAAGTGCCCTCAGAGTCTTCAACTCACAAATGTTGCTTGGGAGACTTTCAAGCCTTGAACAGTCTTCAAGATCCAAGCATTCTAGTCTTGATGGAAATTCAATCAAGGACAACTCTATTATAGATGTTCCATCAAAATATACTTTTTCCATGCTACATGTGATCTTTGGAGCCTTCTTGAGAGTTGAGCAACCAGAGAGAATGAGAAATTTTGATTGAATGTTGGCAGGAAGACTGTTAAGGTTTTTGCAACCTTTAAGATTCAAGATATCCAGCTTATTTAGATATTGAATTGATGAATGAACCTCAATCAAACTTGTACAACCTTGTAGAATCAAACTCTCAAGATTTGGGGCTAATGAGAGATCTGGAATTCTAATTAGGTGCTTTGAGTGGATGAGGTTGATATGCTTCAACTTTTCTAAAGGCTGCAAACAATAAATTAAGGAGATGAGGAAGTGACATAAATTATATGATCAGCCTTATGATTTTCTACACAAACAAAATATGAAGATAAATATTTATACCTGGAGACCATTCCAGAGTTGTTTGATTTTGCTCCACGGCATGATAAGTGCAAAAAGATTTTCCACCTCAAAATTTGATGGCAATGAATCCAAAGGATATCCAAACCAGCGAAAGAACCTTATGTTACATGGACTGAATTCTAGGCCCTGCAAAGCATGCACCTTATTCACATTCTCTTCATCCACTGTGCAATATTCACAAGACCATTCATCCACTGTGCAACACACGCAATAAAAATGCCTCCTCCCGAAACCATGTCGATTTAGCTTGTCCGGGCAATAAAAGTCCAAGAATCTGAGGTTTTGCATCTTCAAGAAAGCATTGCACTTCAAGTTTATCTCTTTTATTTTAGAAATATCCAAGGAGATGCATTCAATTGCTTCACTTCCCTAACAATTAGATGACAGTAAATTAGTATCTTAAATAAATGTCAAACCCTACTATTATAACACGTAGTTTTAAAATTAAATTCTAATTTTTTTTCTTATATTTCTTTTTTGTAAAATTCAAATGTAGACATGCCCCAAATCTAATTTAACCCTTCGCTGTAGGAACTAATAAATTAGCAAGTATAGAATGTGTACGTACATTATCCATGACAATTAAAAATTAATAATAATAAATGAATGATGTTATCCAATTTATAATAATATAAAAAAATTAATCAGTCAGTCTCTCACCGTGTTTCTTCTTAACACATCATAGATATCATCATGACACCATAATCTGCTGCGTTTATCTTTAGGTTCTTGCTTGACAATTTTCCCTCCCATTTTTTGTAACAAATCATGCATTTGTATACAATCGGAATAATCTCTAGTTATAAAAGACTTGTCAGAATAATCTATAGTTATAAGAGACTTGTCAATGAGATTCTGTACTCCCATTTTGGAATCAAAAGAATAACCATCAAGGATTTCCATTGCAATATTTCTTCCAAATCCCTTAACAAAGCATACTATATCTAGAAATATATCTTTCTCTTGATCATCAAGCCCATAATAACTTATTTTCAGCACATCTTGGATCTCTGTATTTGGATTTGAATTTTTTTCTAGGTTAATCAATGCACTTTCCCATTCTGATTTTTTCTTCTCAAATAGTGAAGAACCCAAAACTTCAAGAGCTAATGGAACACCTTTAGCAAATTTTATTATCCTTATTGATAGATCCATGTAATCTGTAGGGGGATGATCCAGTTTAAATGCATGACGACTAAAAAGTATAAGATCTTCATTAAATGGTAATCCTTCAACCTCATATATGTTACCATGACTTACTCCACAATTTTTAAGCACTTGTTTATCTCTTGATGTAATAATGAATCGACTTCCAGGACCAAAACATTCAAGATCTCCAAGTAACTTTTTTATTTGCTTTGAACTTGTCACATCATCAAAAACAATGAGAACTTTGTTATTGTGAAACCTGCTTTTGGTGAAGGTGGACTCTAAAACAGCCCATCGATCTTCTAATATTGCAGAGAGAAGATCTTCACCCAAACAAATTAATCCAAATTTTTCCGACTTTTCCCTGACATTTTGAAAGTGGACACTCTCAAATTGACTTGAGATTTTGGTGAATAATGCACTAGCAAGAGTTGTCTTGCCTATACCACCCATTCCCCAAATCCCAACACTCCTGCAAACATCTTTTAACTCAAGACATAATAGCGATTCAAGTTTCTCTATTTTTGATTCTATCCCAACGAGGTCCTTGTTTTTACTCGGGGACATTTTATTCAATTCTTTCAATATTTTTTTGACAATTTCCCTTATTAACACAGCTTCAGGCCTAACAAAATATAAAACACTTTAGTAAGTTTAATTAAATCAAAATAGAAACAACAATGCTTTTTAATTACAATATCTATGCAAACAAAGCGTCTGAATTAAGAGAAAACAACATAATGGATACATTCCATAACAGTTACCTAACGTTAATCTAATAATATTCCATTGAAAGAACCATAACAAAAAGTAAAATTCATAGTTTTGTATTTTTGTTTGGCTCATAAGAATGTCCGGTTCAACTCAATTACCACATACTCAATACTAGTTTAGCACAACATTTATCCGTAATTAAATTTATTAAAATAAAATATAAACCGATTTCATTTTATTATTTTTTTAAAACATTTTGAGTCCCCTATTAATTGTATCCTTCCATATATATATATATATTAAATAATCTACCATATCTTAAAATTCATGTACTTTAATTTTTTGAAATATTATAGAATTTATTTTTTTACATTTAAATATTTTACAAGATTTTTTCATTAATGGTCCATATTAAATATCTAAATACTAGCGATATTTTTTGACAGTTTTATATATAATAAATAAATTTCTTTTCACCAAATAAAGAAGAGAAGTCTCCATCCATTGAACAAACTTAAATATTTTACAAAAAGTAATTGTAATTGGGAAATTCAATCAACATACAATTACCTAATGTTACTTGAATCAAATCCGGACAGATTAGCTGCTCCATTCAAAGCATTCCTCCATCTCATCACCTTCTCTGAGTTCTGCTTTTCTTCATGGTTCACAAATGCTTCTCCAAATGTTCCAGTTTGATTCCTTACATCTGATGGATCCACGTGATAGAAAACTGGCACTACCATCAGATCTCTCGTTTTCTTGCATTCAATGATCTTTGCAAGTTCTTCAAGGCACCATCTAGATGTGGCATAACCTTTCGAGAAGACAATAACTGCGATCATTGATTCTTCGATCGCATTCAAAAGTGCTTCTGAAATTTCATCTCCTTTATCAAGCTTATCATCGTCTATGAAAGTGTTGATATTCTTTGAACACAGAGCTGCATAGAGATGGCTTGTAAAGTTGTCACGTGTATCCTCACCTCTAAAGCTAAGAAAAACATGATATTTTTTAGAAACTCTGGAAGAAGAAGAAGATGATGATGAAGCCATTATTACACTTCACACTTGATGAAAGACTACTTAGAGAAGAGATACTTTTGAACTCTGCGTATGTAAGTAATGCACAGAATTTTAAAATTATATAACCAAGACAGTGATATGCTTACGTAATTCAATGAACCTTCCACGAAGTTTTGTGCAAATTTTGAGTAATTTCTCCAAGGAGAAGGAATATGCCAAATTTCCTTGAAATTTCTTTGTGTACGAAAAGCTGATTCACACTTTAATTTTTTGACTTTTTGACTGAAAAGAAGGAGCCGTGTCTCCTACTCTGTTATTAACATACGCTTGGGAGAACGACTTATACATACCCAAGATTTATCGTAACGACAAGTTGGTACTCAAAAGGTTTTGAAATGACAAATAGGTATTTTCTGTCATGTTCTGTTAGTGATTTCTGTTTATTAATAGTGAAAAGACCAAAATGCCCTTAAAAGTTTAAATTTTAGTTTTTTATAAATTTAAAAATTTTAAAAAACCCCCTAAGTTTACAAATTTCACTAAATACCCCAATATATAAAAGTTTTATAAAATAACAAAAACACCCCCCACCGGCAAGTGCCAGATTCCGGCCACCACCGCCGGAATCTGGCCGGAAAGTTGCGTTACGACACAGACCCGTCAGATCTGTGTCGTAACGCGTCGATCTGGCCTTTTCCGGCCAGATCNAAGGAAATTGAAGGTAGTAAATAACCTGACTTCAGGATAATATTTGTCCATCTCCAAAATCTCATTGCCAGAATGAGTGAGGCTAGAAGTCTGACTCTCACCATCCAATCTACCACGTGACAGGGCGCAAATTGCTTCAGAAAGACACTTATTAATTGTATCCAGTGCCATTGAAAACGCCCCAACTCTCTTCTGAATTTCTATTGACTGAATTTTGGTAATAAAATGAACGGTCAGAAACAAAAGCAACACCAAAATGTCAACCAAAAAACTAAATTTAGAGGAAATAAATAGTTGGAGCAAACCCATAAACTAAGTAAAACATACATTTACCAGAAAGGTAAACAAGACACTTGATACAATTGAAAAAGGGCCAACGAAGATATAAAACAATGAGAGAGTACAAAATGACTTGCCAGTAATTGGTTGATACTCATCCTTCATTATGCTTATTTAATATTTCAGATGCAATCCAAAAATAAGACATCAAAATGCAAGGGCAGAAAAATTACTTTGTCATACAGCCCAGCTTCCTGACACTGGCGAGCAGCTTCAAGTAGATACTGCTGTCTTCCTTTGAAATCAGTTAAAAATCGTTTCAATTCACCTTCCTCTCCAGCACCTCTTGAACCAAGTAAAAGATAGATTCCACCATCTCGTAATAATGGCTCAGTAAGAAGTTGCTTTAGCATTAAGCTTTTCTGCCTTTGCTGATCGGCATTAGCTCTCCCAGTCCATGACAACTGTCCCCCGCCAACTGCAGCAGCAGCCTGTGCATAATACTCTAAAGCAATCTGGAGATTACCAAGACGCAAATATGCAGACCCATACTGCCTAATCATGCTGGATGCCTCTGCATAAGCATCCATTAACCCTGGTTTTTTTACAGCATCGGCACCTTCATAAAGGACCCCATGGTCTGCCAGAACAATTGACATGTGGACAGCATCAATGTCACAACAAAAATAAAAGCAAACTACGCTAGCAGCAAATTTTACATAATCCAGAGCAAACATTTATATTTCACTCATAGTGTACAAAGAGTTAAAGACTAGAGGTCACAATTTCAAAAGATTCCAGATATATAACACAAAATTATGCTTCTAAGATTAATATGTATTAATTTATGTAATTATTTAATTAATTTCTTAGCGCCTACTCCAAGATTAAGTATTTCCTTATTTTATGGGTTTAGTTTTGTAATTATCTTATTGGTAGTTAAATATAAATGAAATAAAATCTTAAATAAATTCCAAATATAATATAATATATATTTGGACAGATAATGTTAACAGAGTAGTGTCCTAAAAATTCATATATAAAAATTTTTAATCAATGGAAATGATTCCGTGTCGAAATCCTAGTTAGTAAATACAGGTATGGTAAAAAAAAGTATAGGAATTCTACGATATGATACAGCAAATGGTGAAAAATACATTTGTAAAAATTTGGTTATAAAATTCAGATACGGAAAAAATACGGTATTAGTGTATATTAGGGGTGTTCAAAAGAATCGGTTGGAACTGGAACCGACAGGTACCCTGGGTTTGGTTTCGGTTCCTACCCAGAACCAATTGTCAATGGGTAGGTTCCGATTCCAAATTTTTGGAACCGTTACTGTGCTGTTCCGGTTCCTATAGTTAGGAACCGGAACCAGGAACCAAGAACCGAGACTAGTATAAAATAAAATTAAAGATTAGGGGGGTTAATAGAAACTTTTTGTAGAAAAATTAATATGAATACATTTATATTTATATTTCATAACATTTAAAGTAAGTTGGTTTGACTTTTGAGAATCTACATTTACAAAGTAATGGAGTTTGTAATTTGTAATTTTATTTTTGTTAACAAGTGTCAGGTGGGGGGGTATTTGTAAGTTTTTAAGGGGTTTTTTACCGTTTTTTAAAAATTTTGGGGGGCCAGTAATTTTACAGGGTACCCAGAACCAGAACCGGAACCGTTGTTACAGGTTCTAGTTCTGGGTACTTAGGAACCGGAACCGTCGGTTTCGGTTCCTTCAAACAATACAAGGTACCCGGAACCGAACACCCCTAGTATATACGGGTTTAATACGGCACATTATCAATAATATGTTTTGAAAAATACGGTAATATCAATCCTAATTTTAACAATTTTTATAGACCACATGGTTAAAAGCAATATAGAATTTCATTATTTTCATTGTTTCTTGTTACATATTATTGGGTAATGGGTATACCATATACATAGCCTAACTATTTCTAAAAAGGTAACACTTAAGTTTTATAAATTAAAAGTTTAAAACTTGTATAAACAAAAACTGTTATAACCATACAATACAAAACAACAAAACTAAATAGAATATTATGTTAAAACTTGTATAGAAATGTGTATCGTGACCGTGAGGCTTGAAGAGTTGAAGTCTTGGACTTGAAGCTTGGGCCTTCGAGAAGAGAGTTAAAAAGAGAAGAGATCAAGAGATCAAGACTCAAGAGATGAAGAAAAGAAAGTTAAAGAGGTGAAGAACTGTTGAAGATTTGAAGAATTGTGGAAGAAAACTAAGGAAAACCAAAAGAGAAGGAGAAAAGAAAATCTTTTTTAGTCATACCCAACCCAAAACGACGTCGTTTTGGATTTTCATTTAATTTTTTTTTTACCTATGGTAATTCGGCAATAATACGCATGCTAATTCGCATATTATACAACAACCTTGATAAAATATGTAAATTTGAGTTTTATACGCGAATTTACTAACTAGAGCCTAAATTACTTTCTTTTACAAATTTTGCATTCTGTTTTCATTTTCTTTGCCTAATAAATCGTGAAAAATTTGCTCAGCTACCGTTTTTTGAAATTTTAGATGAGAGAACAGATAAAAAGCTTGTTAGAAGAGAAAAACATGAGCCCCACATTTTATATGAAAATTTATAATTTTGATTAAAAAAATATTTTATTCTCTTCCTTCTTTTGCATTTTCTATTTTTTTTTTTAAAAACAATTTTTTTTCTCAAATGAAAATATTTTTTTGTACAAAATTGCAAGGGGAACAAAAAATTAATATAATTAAGATAAATGTTTTGAGACAAATAAAATAAACCATATTTTCAAGGGGTTTTATCAATTGTGTAGGTGGTCAATTTCATATATTTTTCTTTTCAATCAAATATATCAAACTCTTTTTTTTTCAATCATTTTCAATATTTTTAAAATACAAGAAATAGATACAAAAATTTCATAAAAGAACACATTCCTAGCGTTCTACCAACTTTTGTCTTTTATTATTATTATTATTATTCTTTTTATGGAAGGCAATATGTGGTTTGAACTTATAACATGAAATGTTAATAAATATTTACTTAATTATCCTTCACTTTTTATTTTGACCCCAGAAGCTAAAGGGCAAAGAGAATTCTTTAATTACTATAGACCATAGAGGGATTTTTGTTATTTGGTTATACTTCGCGGAATTATTGTTATTAAACATTTGTCTAAGATATTTACCTCCGACGATACTAATCCAATGAATCCTCAGTGCTCTATTTTGCAGTAGAAAACGTGATTCAATATGCATGATTTCAAGTTTTTGATGAAGAATTAGTGTTGCAAAACACCATGAAACATTCCAAGGAAAAAAGTCATGAAATCTATTAGTAGTAACTTGCTGCATATCTTTACCATGAATTTGGACTGAAAAACCATGAACCATAAACGCATTATCAATAAACTTATGCTAATTTCTGATAATAATGGGCCTAAACCTTGAGTCGAGGGCCTAGATGGTTGAGTAAAACTTATCTTGAAAAACCGGCTTGCCAAAGGAGGATACCCAACTCCTTATAAACCACTTAATCCCTCCATTCCTTTCCAATGTGATCTAACAATTTCAAATATCATTTTAGGTTTTGCAGTCTTTTTGAAATGAATTGGGCACAGCCAACCCTTAAGCTTTGCAAGATATTTCAACAATGAAATGGGCACAGCCAACCATTCCATTGCCAAGATACTATGTTAAAAGGAGAAATGAAAGAAACGATGTTAAAAGGAGAAATGAAAGAAACGAAACCCTGTAATTCTTTGAATGTGTTTCATATGAGCTTTATGTACACCGTTTTTGTTTGGTCTGGAACTTGTAGCTGATACAACTCTACATTTTCAATTACTTCCTTCAGAGCACCTCGACCCGGAAACGTTAGAACCTATGGCCACAGACCAAACACCGTAGTAAGAACGTCTACAGATCATCCCTTAAAAATGAAACTCTTACAGATTTTGACAGAAAATAAAAGAAAAACGTTACTCTTAAATTTTTTTCCAACTATTTTAATCCCAGTCCTCTTATTCCA